CTCCTGCTGCTGCGGCTGCCGCTGCTGCGGCTGCGCTTCCGCTGCTGCCGCCGCAGCTAGACCCTTGCCGAAGCCGAACCGGAAGAAACAACAGGCCTGCTGCCAGCAGCGCGACGACCAAGTCACAGCCGTTTTGTTGGGAAAGACGCGATCCACAAACTTCCTCAGCTTTGACAAGCACCGGGCACGTGTGACACCTTCAGTCTGAAAGAGGCTGAAGAGGTAAACACGATTGAGCAAAGCTCCAACAACCTTCCTTGTTTTGGAACTTGCGGTGCTGCGTACGGCCACTCCACTCGCGGCAACCATCGGTCACCTGTGAATCCCACCGTAACACTCACGTCACCACGGCTTCAGTGTCACAGGTCTGTGTGGCATCTCGTGGCCTCAGTATTCCATGCAGAAAGGAAACAGAAACGGAATTTGTATCTTCGAATTCTCTCGCCGACAGCTCCAAGTTTACCACTGGGCAGAGTCGGGCCTGGATATCTCCTTAAAGAGTGGGCAAAGCATGGGCGAATATCCACCGCAGCTGCACCTCGAGGCTCTACAAGAGCGCAGCGCCGTGTTCCTATTCGAGCCGGCTTCGAACCGAAAACTGAGCGTACGTGGGCCAGCTATACTCCAGCTATGCTCTGGCCTGGCCACGAAAAGAGAGCAGTTCAGCATTCGAGATCAAGTTTCAAGCGGTTCTGCCAAGACACAGCACTGCGGAATGCTGAAGTGCTCCCACAACGAACGTGAGGAATCGTGAGAATTCTCACTAACAAAACCACAGGGCCAAAACCAGCCCTTCCTCACTCCTCAAATCAGCCTGTCACGACATGATGAATATTGATCATCATCTTAAGGGAAGCGATCTGGTGGCAAATCTGATCTGGCAGGCTGCGTACTTGTAGTCCATGTCGATAGGCACGTCGTTAACATGCGTCACCACCCACGATGTCATGACACGCGCGCTCCCCGAAAATTCCGTGCCAATGCCAGTGACAGTCAAAGGCATACTTTTCGAGAAGCGCAAGCACAAAGGTTTGGAGTCAAAACACACATCCACTGTATGAGCTTGAGGGGTCTTGAAGGACAGCTTCATGGTTGTTCCAATTTCCTCCGTCTCGATCCCCTCGTCGAAGGAAGAGGCAGCCGTGGACATTGAAGCCGTAGGATCGGGAATGTCCTTCGCTGCGGTGCTTTTGGTGCTGTCGCCACTGTTGTCCAGCACTTTGTGGGTCTCGCACACTGGGCAGGTCTTCTCTGGAAGATCGGTTACAATGCCTTCGTGGCTAGACTCATCGGAAAGAGTGCCGGCGAGGCACCACGAGAACATGGCCGGCCAGAGCACTCGATGGCTCGGCGAAACCTGCTCCCGAAAAAAGCGATGAGATTCGAGCCAAGCTGCAAGAGCAAGCTAAACACTTAACTTTGATAGACTCTTATAGCCACTAGTTTGTTCGAACACCTCTAAACCTCTCGCATGTGGTACAACAGCCGTTGCATACCATCCTCTGGTTTCTTGGCGAGAGATGCCATCTTCCTGTCTGCGGGCGCGCCACGGCAGGAAGCCCCAGTAGCTGTAGCCACCCGAGGACCTGCAGTGAACCAAGGACTAACGGCCCTGTGCTTCGAAAGCCGAAAGGATCCTAGGCCTGGTCGCCACACCGAGGTTACGACTTTGCGCAGAGCAACTATGATGGTAAGCTTAGTTGAAGCTGTCATGGTGCTGACGCCACGGCAAACCGACCTCGCAGCTAACAAAAAAAGACGGAGACTTCAACGCGGTGTTCGGGCCTTTCTTGAGGTCTCGGCTCAAGATTGGAGAAGCTCAGGTATAAAAAACCCTGCTCTGCGTGGGACCGTGCGGGTCGCCAAGACAAATCGAGACTCCGGATCTCTGTGTGTTAGATTTGTTTATAGGGTCTGACATGTATGAAAGCCACAAATTGCGCAGCCAATGGGTCCATCCCACGGGGAACAAAGCCCGATGAGCCTCGACCTGTAACGACGCTGCCTGGCAACAAAACCGTGGAGCAAACAGCCCCGAGCCCTCTTTTACAAGACTTATGTTTCGATCTTGAACTTCCCTGTACTTTGCTGCCGTGGGGCGCTAAGGACTCGCCGGAGCTTGCCTGCTGCGCCAAAGCCTGCCCCGGCTGTTTCGGAGCTTTGCCCTGTTCGACTCGGACATCCTTGTCTCGTGGGGATTGGGGTTTACATCTGGGGCTTAGGGAGCTGAGGGCTATGAACGGAGCAAAAGATCATAAAGGATCCGAGGGCAAAGAGATCCGGTCAGATGGCAGCAAGACAATCCAAACTGCTGCCGTTCCTTGCAAGCGGCCTTCTCTAGCCACCTAAAGCCACCCTCCACTGATGCAGGGACATGCAGTGAGATCAGATACGACTGTCGAAGTCTTCCACAAGGAAACTGGGCGCTGCGGCGAGTGTGAGCAGACAGCTGGCACACCCATGCAGTGGTTGCCTTGCATATGCCTTTGACCGTGCCGTCTCATCGAGCGATGCCAAGCAAGGCCCAGCTACAAGAATCAAATCTGTTGCACAGGCTCGGGCAGAGACAGGACACGTGCTTCAAGAGTCCGACGAGAGCTTCATGTCGAAAAGCTCCAAACACATCCAACCGAAGCCCCCCCTGCAAGAAGGCGTATGACTACTTTGCCGAATGTACTGCTGACCTTGAGGGGGGTAGTTCGTACGTTTCGGGCCATGTTCTCTCACATTTCCAGTAGCCGTAGCCTCCTTGATCATCTCCTCCGATTGTGTCAAAGCGCCTCAACCGCAGGGCAGCAGTGCTCCAAGGGCTAGGGTGGTTCAATGTTTCAGGTGCAAAAGTTGGCTGTTTGAACAAGCCGACAGTATGCCATCAAGGACGAGACTCTCGCATGAAATCAAGCGTATCGGTTGGGAGACTCGGATAAAGACTGGACAGCACCTTCGATTGCACAGAAGAACGCCTTGAACTCAATGCCTGGTGACGTGATGTGGTTAAAGTCAGAATGGCTAGGCTCCGTCACACTCCGAGCTTCGCGGTAGAGGGTTGCAGATTTCTTGGTTTGGGTGTTGCATGCCAGTTCTATGATTCATTCAGCTGCAGCGCAGAAAGATTCCCCTGAGAGGTTTGGGACCTCTCCCTGAGTCGCTGTTCTGGCTCGGGCTCTCTTATTCCGGCCCAGGCGCGCTTGGCAGCCAAGTCGATTCCACTGACCTGCCAAACACGTAGATGGAGCCCTCTGGATCAGCTGGAAGGAGCCCGAAACCCAGCAGTATGTGATCTCGAAACGGGAGTCTCTGGGAAGTGGCTTGCCAAGGAGCTTTGAGCCTTTAAGAAACTTGCAACGGCCCCCTTTGCCTGTGAGAGCTCGTCCTCGTAGTCCTGCCTTGGCTGAGATGGGCTGAAGCTACGGCAGCTACGGTGTGATTTATCCCCAATTCTGTTCACGGTGGTGATGATGCTTGCCGGCTGAGTTGCAGCACAGAGGGCGGCAGCACATCTACAGCAAAGGCCAAGATGCGGAGAGCCAAACGATCCTCAAACGGCTGAATGAAGGCCCCAACTTCAATCAAGCTTAAATGGTAGCTAGGTGTGTTCAAGCGATTGTAGTTCTCGTAGACAGAATTTCGCCCTACCTTCTGCGCAACAGAGCTTCGACGAGACCCGCAATGCTGCATACAGATACATCTGCCAGGATCTGCGGTATCCAATCGATCACAAAACACAAATGGATGCATCAGAACGCCTTACAACACGCATGCATAAAGGCACAAGAATGCAGATACAAAAGTTGACTGGCCGACCGACTGCACCCGCTTGACTGAAACACAAGCAAGCACACAAAAAGATTACGGGGAACTCCCCACACCCTGTGCAGCAAAAGCTCCCGGAGCGATACAGGGCCCTGTTGAGAAGTTGCCGCTAAGCCTGCATTGGACATCCACCTGCAGGAGTGCGACCAAGAGGGTTCAGAAGTATGCTTTTGGAAGAGACCCGAACCTTAAATCCCAGTACGGCCGGGCCTATTGAAGTCCTCCTCTGGATTCTCCGCAGTTACCCAACCGGCATCCAACGGAGACGAGGTCCATGAGAGCGACAAAGTCCTAAGAACATCTGAAAAGCATTATGAAAGCAAAAGCTTGCTTGCAGAGGCGCCTTCTGACTCACATGGCACTTTTTTTGAAGCGCCGTGGCAGATTTCCTAGTCGCAACCAAGCGGCTGCTGATCATAAATGCCAGACTACACTCTCAAGATAATGATATTAGCCGTCATTCTTGCACAGGTCTATGCTATCGGCGCCGGCAGAATCCCGTGTGCTGGACGTAGGCTGTGTGGAATGCTGACGATCAGGGTCCGAGTTTAGGATGCAAAGGAGTGAACCCTGCCTCCCCTTTGCTCCAACTGCCAAGGTGCAAAAGTCGTCGCGGTTGCTGTGGCCAGCACAGGAAGGACGTAGCAAGCAGGGCCAGGAGGACGCCAATCCTTATCAGTTCTTACACTTGAGCTACGGTGCATTGCTTTACCATGAGCGGACAGCCCTTTGTGCTCGCAACCTGCAACCCCCTGAACCGTGGTGGTTCGACTGGCCGAACTGGCCCTCATTGTGCTGTGCACCACCCGGGGCCTGGGACACGATGTTTTCGCTAGACCTTATCCTACTCCCTGCCCTCATCCAGCTACCAGCAGCCGGCACTGTGCAGTCTCACTGGCCTAAGTACATCAAAACTTTGCTGCGCCAACCACGCACAACGAAGGGATCCAGGCATCTGAACGCATACGAAGAGGTCTCATCAAGAAAACACAAGAAAGATGGGCACTGTGGCAATAGTGGCAAGAAGCACTAAGCACAAACCATGACCAAAGTCGTGAACTTCGCCCCTTGCTATCCACCCTAGTAGCTTAGCTCAAGAAACCACGAAAGTCTCTGCTCAGCTTCGAGGTCAGGGCTGCCTTCATGCTGACGGCCCGAGAGCGCTCGCGGGCCAGTGCTGGAGCCAAAACGAGGCGTGGGCTTCTCTTCATGGCCACTCTTCCCTAACATCCTCTTGCGGAAACCTACAATTCTCCCGGTCATATGCTGATGGCTACTGCCTTTCCCGAGCTTGATTCCAATGAAACCCTGAAAGCCTGACTCCCTCCTTGCAGGAGCTTGCAAACCACGGTTTTTCTCCTCTGGCTTCTGCCCTGCCAGCGCGGCATCGGCAAGCTGGCTGAGCGTCACTGCTCGCAGCTGACGCTGCGCCAGGCCCTGGAGGAAATGCCGCAGGACCTGCAGCTGGGACCCTTCTGAGATTAGCTCAGGGGATGCGACACGGAAGCCTCCAAGGTGTGCTGTCTGAAGCCCCGCTGCGGCATGTGAAGGACCGCCACCTGAGAAACTCCAGAAGCAATGAATTGATTCAGTCCGACAGCCGCTGCCCTCGAAAAGGAAGTTACATAATGAATGAAAGAAACTGGGTAGAGATGAAGCGCTGATGTTACTTCCTGCAAAGATAGTGACAGCAGATCCTGAGACACCATTCACACTCGGATATTAAGAAGCTGTGCGCAAGCAGATTGAATATCTCCAGATAAGGTGCCGATCCAGACTGCACCTTACGCAAGCACCGTGCCACAAGACTCCGTTCAGACGGATGCAGCTCGGAAGATCCCCGAAACTAAACGCTGACGCCTCAGTAACCTCGTGTCATGACACAAGGTACTTCGCACGTATCAGGCACAACTCTGAGTCAAATCACCTGGCGCAGGAGAACTGAGGCCACCCTGAAGGCATCAGGGATGGCCCAGTCGTCGGCATAGCAGTCCTTGAAGCTGCCATGTAGGCTACGAGACGCTAGGAGTTTGGGGTTTTCGGTGCCTCGGAAGCTGGGGCCGAGTTTGCCTGGCGAGCAGTTCATGCTCCTTGCTGCACGTTTAAGATCTGTCTTCAAGCCGCCGGCAGAGTGGAGCTTTAGAGTGAGCAGGCTCTATAGGGCCGGTAGGGCTTGGGGCGTTGTCTCACAGCTTCTGCTTGGATAACATGCAATGTTCCGAAAATTGAGCGGCCCTAAACATCCTACCCCAGCTTCGAGAATCTCCTGCAACTCTGCAAAGACGAGAGGCTCCGAGGGCGTGGGACATATTTCTGGCCTGAGTCAGGCAAAGGGCTTCAGTTTGAGTTCAGAAATGGCCGTGTGGCTTGCCAGAGCTCTGCTCCGTTTCATGAAGCTGATTGCAACCAGCTCGAGTCAACGACTGTTGCATGTGCTGTTGTCTGACAGACAGCCAGTCGCTCTGCACTTTTCCAGCTGTAGTTGCCTGTGGCGGAAGGCATGCACATCTGTGACTACATCACTCCCTTATCCCTTTCCATCACCATAGCGAAAACTTGCGAGATCGTCTTGGACCAAGCTGGTGTCACCTCCATCTTCTGGGTTTCCCCATGCGACGATGAGTCCATCAGCCCGGATCGCAGCAAAGGCACGCCAGGAGGCGGTGATCTCGTTGACGTTCTGCAGCTGGTGCTGCACCATGCTGCAGTCTCCACCGTACTCTGCATCCCCCCAGGTCACCACAGACCCGTCTGATCGAAGAGCTGCGAAGGCTGCGGCTGTTGCCACGACCTCGACCACATCCACAAGCTCTTCTTCGATGGAGCTGATGTCCGCCCCATCAGCTAAGGAGCCCCAAGTTACCACCCGGCCATCCAAGCGCAGAGCAGCGAAAGCGGACCAGGTAGATCGGAGCTGGCGCACGTTCTGCAGCTGAGACTGCACCGCGGTGCAGTCCGATCCGTTTTCCTCATCACCCCAGGCCACTACACGTCCGTCAGACCGCAGCGCAGCAAAGGCACTGGCTGAAGCCTGGATCTCCTGCACACCAACCAGCAACTCTTGCACACCACTACTATCACCACCGTCGGCTGCCTGGCCGCATGTCACAACAGACCCGTCCAGCCTTATCGCAGCAAAAGAACCCCAAGAAGCACGCACGACTCTCACACTCCGCAACATTTTTGCCTGCGTTGAGCCCCAAACCACCAACTCAGCCGTAGAGCACAGAGCGGCAAATGCACCGGCGCAAGCTGTTATTTGTTGCACCTCTCGCAGCAGGTGTTGCACGGTACGGCTGTCACCACCGTCACATGCACGGCCCCAGGTCACGACCGTCCCATTAGATCTCTTGGCAGCAAAAGCCCCTTCTGTCGTGCTTATTTCCACCACATCTTGCAAGTCTTTCTGCACCGCTGCGCTGTCTCCTCCGAAGCTCTCGCAACCCCATGTAACGACGTGGCCATCTGCGCGAAGTGCAGCAAAAGCAGCCGCCGTCGCCTTTATCACTCTCACCGAGACAAGCTGGTCTTGTACTGCGGAACTATCGCCACCACCCTCTGAGTCCCCCCAAGTCACCACAGAGCCATCAGCAAGAGTTGCAGCAAACGCTTCTTCGGTTGCAGCAATCTCCAGCACATGCACCAGTTTGTTTTGCACGCGTTTGTAGCTGGTACCCTGCCGCTGGTTGCCCCAGCACAGAACATGACCATCGTGGCGGATGGCGGCAAACACCGAGCCCCATTTTGCTGGGCCCGTGGGGTACTCCAAAGAAGCGAAGCGCGTTATTATTCGAGTCCCGTGCACAGTCGCAGTGAGAACATCGCCGTCCTGTACGCCTTTGTCGCATAGCTTGTCACTGCCCTGTACAAGCTTCCCCTGCTGGCTGACGATGTCCCGAATTCCAACTTGGCATGCATGCTGCACCCGGCTCTTCAGCTCATCGGCACTTGCATCGGTCTGCACGACAACAGGCACCATCTGCCCGCTTAGGAAGGTGACTGTCACCGCCATGGACATGGAAAAGGGCAGAAATTAGCCGGAGCAGAATCGAAAATTGAGACTGATTTGGCCTCGGAGAGGTTCCTGCCATATCCCGCTAGTGATGAAGTCGCCGTACCTACTACCCCATACGACCCTTCAACTACCTACCTCGCGTTCTGCACCAGTCTGTGAAAGCATCGTTGAAGGCCCAGCTCCCTCACCGTCCCTGCCTGCAAAACGACGGCCATATCAGATGTAAGCCGCGCCTTCAGGGGCCAAGAACAGGTCCATTATCTTGAACCGGCTTCGGTGTTCGTTGGGATCTGGGCGGTTGAGGGTTCGCGGCCAGCCGTCAGAACTCTGTCGTTACACCGGATGCCTGGGGGGCACGGAACCAATGGCGTGCATCCGCTCGCATAAATGGTCGCAGCACTGCGTCCTGGAAGCATGTTGCCGGTCCATTTGGGTTCATGTCCCATATTTGTATGATTCGACTTGGCTCGTGGAAATTGGAAATTCGAGTGCCACCTTGCATGGCTGTTCACGCCGAACATCAGAGAAGAGGAGGAGCACACCGGAAAGTCTACACGTCGGGTCATCGAAAAAGCGACGTTTCCCGATATCTCAGTCATAGTAGGGGGCCGTCTCAACATCCTAAGCTAAAGGAGACTTTCCAAGATGTCGATGGACAGGTGCAAGCCAGGTCGGAGCGGCAGATGAATGCAATCGTTCACGGCAGCCCGACGGATTCGAAAACTGCTTCTCAAGCGACAGTACAGTGAAGCCTTCGAAAATCAAACAATGACTCCGCGCTACCATTACTGATGACACGGAGTTTGAGCGTTTGTTGTTACACATGCTGGAACCCGGAAACTCCGCACAACTGTGTGTTCTAATATTGCTCTGGGTGTTTGCTTGCTTGTTGTGTGTTGGTGACTTTCGGGGTAACGCTGCCCCAGTTAGTTCTGGTATGGCTTTTTGTATGACTTTGACAGAACTCAAAAGGCGGCCTCAACATGAGACTAAATTGTACAAAACAGCGCGAATTGAATGACAAATCCACTACGTTGACACTTCCCAACTTGATGAATCTCGCTCCCGCCAGTGCTGCGCAGGTTTTGGGATGGTTTTTGGGAGGAGATCGGGCTCCCGCCAATCCGGGCCCTATTTTGGCCTTTGCATCTCCACACTATGAGGCTCGACATCTCGCAGCTCTGGCGGGAGCACGATTTCGGCCGGGGCGGGTGGAGTCCTGTGAAACTTTTGGATACGTGCTGTTCTCCTTTTGGGGATTTCTTTTGGTTTCACCTTAACGAAACAAACCATGGGTATATTTTCACCAAACAACCCAAAAAGCCTGGCGAGATGCTGCTTTACGTTGCGAGATTGTGATTTGTTCCTAAAAGACAAAAAACCTTGGCAAGTTTCATGACTCATGTTTTGAATTTCATGGACAACAAAATGCATGGTGCGGGCAATTTTAGCACATAGTTCTTCAAGCAGGGTGGTAACACCATGGGTTTGCTACCTTAGATGGGGGCGAAGAGATTTGGCGGCTGTCCCGCGACGGGCACCCAGCACGCCTCGGCTCCCGCAATGGCACCGTTTTGGGTGCGTTAGATTATGTTATTTTATCATAAACCCAAGAAACGGTCGATTCAGTTCTTTTTCACTGTGGATACAAGCAAGAACTGAGGCTCCACTACTTGATGACTCACAATCAGGAGCAGTCCGTCTCATCGAGGGCTTCCCGGAATTCTTCCACTGGCCATGAGGCATATTCTCTATCCTCCGAAGATACACAGAACACGCAGCACGCGCAGGCACAAGCTGGAGAACGGCCACAGAAGCAAAAGAATGCACGTGCGATGGGAGCCAATCTGTAGCATGGTACAGGCTCTTAGGAGTCTGTGCGCGGGGTCAGCACGCAACGCATGCCGTGCTTCACTGTATTTTCAACAATCCAAACTCCAGAGTCATGGTAGAACCAGTAATTACAACTTAATTACTGCAGCACCTCGGGCATGTGGTTCGCCAGCTCGTGTCCGTGAGAGACCAGCCTTCACAGCGTCACACGCCTAGTCCCTTGCTCCTGTGGATGAATCTGCAGCACTGCGCTGCTGTCATTTGCATTACTATTGCAGCGGCAGGTATTCTAAAGTCCATCAGCACACAATAGCCTGAAATGTCCGACCTTCACGTGGCTCCAGTGTCTCAGAGCCCGATGCAAGTAGTGGAGTGGAGAGATATCCCGGGTACACTGCAAACAGACACCTGTAAACCCACCATTGAAGCTGCTCAAACCTCAAATGACCCACTCTTCTAAGGCTGCAATGACTGCCATTTTGGCCCGCCCGACATGTCACGCCTCCTGAGGTCCTTTGGCCGAACGTAGTGGGAGCCTCCGTTCAGGTCCAAGACGAGCAGCGGCGGTGACTGTCCCGAAATCACTCGCGCACCCAATGAACAGCTGTGAGGTTAAGAAAAGGTGCCGTCGTAGGAATGACCCAACCAAGGGACTCAGGAAGAAGGTGGCTTTTGCAGAGCTGCCGGCCAGCAGCTCCAGGACCTTCGGGGTCATGGAAGCTCAAACTGACCGGGTCCTGCCGAGGCATAGGGGCTTTAGGTTGGTGTTGGGATGTGTCGGGGTTCAGGTCCCGACAAACAGCACGCTCAGACCACGCACCGAATCCTCAACTCGACCCCACCGCACCTCTGGAAGGAGTGAGGCTGACCAGTTGCCGCCTGCTTGGATTTCTTCAGGGGTTGTCGGTTCCGATTTGGCGGATGCCCTGATTCAGCACGCGCAAGCAAAGCGAACATCGAGAATCACTCACCTCGACAAATGCCGTCGTCGATCGTAAGAGCCACGAGCCCGTCCACAGCGGGGAAGTCTGCCGCTGAAAAATAGAAGGTGGTGTTGGCCAGCTGGGGCAGCATCCCCTGCCTGTTACAGCTGTGGGAGTGGCATTACCTAGCTTGTGTTGTTTTGCGGACATGAGCCGTTTGCTCGCGCTTTTGGACGAAAACCTCGCTTGGGGGTTTGACCCACCAAGGGGTCACTTCAAACCTGCCACTCTGCAGACTTGGCCGAGACACAACACCGCGATGATGTTGCGGGGGCCCAAAGATGTCAGCGTGCTCCTTATGTCTTTGTGGACAGATCGAGACAATGTATCTAAGCTCTTGTCAACGAGCTCATTGCCACAGCTAGCGAGCATCCTGTAACATCTCACATCTCTCGACAAGAACACTGGACGAGGTCCTCGGTCTCCTGTCAAAGTTCCCCTCCTGATGCACAACACCCTCAAGTCCTCCCAAGCCGACAAACAGCAGCCGGGTCGCCACATTGCCCAAAGGCCATATTGACCCCAGGACAAGACGGCACGTGTCTTCCTCCATGCTGGACTGGCAGTCGGGCTCTTGCAGGTTTGTGCGGGACATCAGCAGGCGGGGGCTTGTGGCCACTAACAAAACTCGACATGAACAGGACTAGGCATGTGCCGTCCAGACCTCCACATTATGTGGTCTATCAGCATCACGCACCCGCACGATACTGATCTGCTGCCGTCGCCAGCATGGATCTACACCTGCTACGGGCCCAGCACTCCTCGGTCTCCAGGGCGGTGAGGTTTCCACCACATGGCCGACGAGGAGAATCTGAAGAGCTCATAGATATGCTTCGAGACCCGACATAGTGCAGCCCTCGCACAACACTTCCACCGAGCAAGCGCAATTTGTCAAATGACCTGCGTCGTCGCCCACACGAAGACGGCGGCCAGGCAAGCTGCTCTCCGTCGCAGTCGGCAGGAGCATCGCCACACCATGGCCACCCTTCTTAAACTGTCGACAACTGGAATGGCGGTATTGATGACAGCTAATACAACATAGACTTTGGATTGGTTTGCAGTCGTGTTTGTACTTGTACCTGTGTTTGTACTCGTGGTCGTCGTGGTCGTTCGTGGTCGTCGTGGCCGTCGTGGCCGTTGTCGTGGTGGTGGTGGTGGTGGTGGTGGTGGTGGTGGTGGGTGGATCTGCTGTTAGCGACTGGGCTCCGGTTTTCACTGCCCCACGTGGGCCCGTACAGTCCTCCCTCACTGCCGGTCTGTCCGTTCTCCATGTGATGCTACATGCTGGCCATGTGCCTAAGACTTGCGCACTGAGCGGCTTCGGGGTGGTACTGAAACCGAGAGACTGTGAGGGCATGGGATCACACTTGTTCTGCTCCACATGTGTGCACGGAACATGTTTTCCGGCTCTTGGCATCGTCAGCACTACCTCTGATTCGGGGCTTTGCTGTACTGCGCCCGATGGAAGAGAGACGAAGACGGTCATGAACCCAGGCTTCGGCTTTCTCTTCTGTGGAGCTGCGAAGGGTTGCCGAAGACAATATGGGAGATCTAAAGTATAAATGGGCCCCTTGAGAGGTGGAAATCCAATGGCAAGGAAAGCAAAAGTCCAGTGAAGAGGAGGCTGGCGCCAAAGGCTCCAAGCATGCGAGCACATGAAAGCAGCTGACCTCCGAAGGAGGAAGGGTCCCTGACCACTACCATGCGGATCATGCAGGCGGACATAGCAGAATATCAGAAGAAGAGTAAAGCTGTCTTAGTGTTTTTACAACAGTGACGGCGACTGTCGTCACTAACTTCTTGGCGATTGTTTCTGCTGATGCTATACGAAACCAGTGTTGATGCTGAGGCGACTGTGATCATCGTGCTTCGTACGGCAGTACCTATGAGGAACGGAATTGCTCTTGCTCGTATCATTTGCCACTAGAGCTCTCTGCTATGCTTGGCGCGAAGCACATCATCGCGAACAAGTCGCGCCTGCGTTGTTGCTAGTTGCATGCCCGTCGCACTGCTTTGCTGCCGCTTGTGCAACACTGTCATAACTTATGACTCATAAGTATGACAGTATGACCGCGTCGTGCGATGAATGCGAAAACATATGCAGAACACCCTCCACTGCGATCCGTCTGCATACGACACCTTAAACAACGAGGGCAAGCTCAGAAGTTCCAATAGCAGCATGATCTTTGAGACAGACCTCGTCATCTCGTGAATTCGTGACTTGTGGGCGGAAGTACCAGGTTAAGTGCCTACCAATTACCCCCATGATCCCATTAACTCTATTAAGTCATGTCGAACCCTGACTCAAAAACCCCTCATATCTCAGGGCCGTAATATTGGGATACCTATTGTAGTCAGTCTTCAGGGAGTGGGGGTTACGTGCAATGCTGGGATTTCTGTCAGCAAACATACTCCAAGTTCTCCAAGTGGCTAACGGCCAGCACTGACAGCAGAAGTGGGCACAACAAGAACACCGAGACTGTGACAGCAGCACAACTTCTTCATACAAGTCCTAAATGACAGAACTGACAGAACCTGGACTTCCCGAGACTGAATCCGAAGCCGCATCGTTCCCTTGTTTTCCTCATATCACAGCTGAAGCTGCGCAGGCGCCGCGCACGTCCAAGGCCACACAGTGATCCCCGCAAACCTTCAGGGCTTCTGCTGAGACTTCAGACTGCCCATTCCATGCAACTCCGGCGACTCCCCAACCTCTGCGGTCAGTGGCGCCACCCGCACCTGCCCTGGGCCGAGCAAAGACCACCTCAGCTCCGACAGCTTCAGAGCCTCAGACTGCATTCCTCCTTTCGCTCCTTTGACTCTGCTTGAGTGGCGAACCCGTCACCGTGACACCGCCCGCTAGTTGGTTGCATGCTCGGTATCACGGGAGGCTTTTCTCCGACGCCCCGAACAGCGACTGGGACTCTACAGGACGGTCACCTTCGCTCGTGAGGACTGCCGTTGCCCCGACGGTGTAGGATGAGCGAGGTAGAGAGTAAGAGAGTGCGTGATCGAATGATCAGCACCGTGGCACCATGGGCTTGCTTGCAAGCTCAACAGCAGGCCGTTTCACTTTAGGTCTTACACAAACAACAACTGATGCCCCGATGTTAGCTACAAGTCGCCCCGGATGCAGTCCCTAGCATCTCTGCACTGCTACATTCTGCTCCTCCCCTCTATCTTTCTGCAGGACTAGGGAAGGGGTTTGCACACCCCCCGCTTGCGCTCAAGCACACCCTGTCTTGATGTGGAGAGAGCTCAAGAGACACGGCCTAGCTCTCCATCTCTTTCTAGCCCTCGACATGTTGCAGTTCATCCAGAAGTGCGGGCCGGAAGCTCGCCAAGCTGAAACTCTTGAGCCCCAAGTCCGAAGCCGCGCTTCAATGCCTGGACCCACATGACCAGCACTGCCACCGCGCCGCGCTTCCGCCACGTCTGCCTCCGTGAGCTTTCGGGAGGCGCGTGCCTCCTCAATCTTGGACCAGACCTCTAAGCAGACATGCGCTTTTCTGCTCAGCTTCGGAGCTTCAAGGACTGAGGCTTTGCGACGGGCCGCACGAAGCGAGTGGGTCAATTTCCAGATTCTTCGGGCTACCACTCGAACACCGCCCCCTCTCTCTCACTGGTCCTGTGGAGCCGCTAGCTTCACTCTTCACGAAGGCTTGAACGACGGGCCCTGAAGTATCGTCTTCACAGGTTTCTTTGGTGGGCTTCCTGCAGGCCTCCTCAAACGTGGCCGTAGCCCCTGCAGGGACGGCAGCGTCGGTGAAGTTGGCTGCGTTGGCGGGGTCTGCAATGCGCCGATTTGAAGCCATGGTAGTGTTGACCATCTCGCCAGGGCGCAGGGCTGCAAGAAGCTGCAAACTGCAGGTAAAGCCCACCTGTACCCGACCCTTGACAACAGCACACAGTAGCTTCTATGCTCCAGCACGGAACCGGCGTAAAAGAACCCTTCCAGCGCCTGCTGGGGTAGGAATGGCATGTAGCTCCCAACTGCCCAAAAGAGAGGCCTTCGCTGCGTTCTGGATTCCGATTTTTGCACAACGATGAGTCCCGGAACCCGACAACTTTCGGCTATAAACCTGACAACTGAAGGGCCGGAAGCTCGATCGATGTGGCAAGGATCCAGTGTGCCACTATTTACACTGCTTCTTAACCCAGCAAACGCGTGCAACTTCTGGGGTGTAGTGCAAATCAATGAATCAACATGCGCAAACAGCACCTTCCCATGAGTTCAACATTCGCCCTAGAGCTCAGGCAGGAATGCCTCAACAGGAGGTATCATTGTGGGCCTTGCGGGCGGCAGCTGCTACATGCTCGTTCGTGCACATCTCACTAACCCCGAAACCCTGCAACAGCATCCTCTCTGGCTCGTTTGCAAGGCATGGTGCCAGGCGCGGTGTGCAGCCAGTCGCTGCAGTGCTCGGCCCTGGCAGGTGTAGGCATGAATCGGCATGAAGGAGAGCTGCACGGCTGCACCCCAAATCCAGCCGGCACGGCCCAGATCGGCCCAAGAAGAACCCTACATCCGGAGCTACACTCAGCCGAAAATCCTCGAGTCATTGAAAGGAGGGTGAAGCCCCATCCATCACCGGTCTTCAACTCCATCGCCAAACCCCTGACGGCCTCGGGAGTGCCAAAGATCTCCTGGAAGTTGCCTGGAGCGGCTTTGGGCTGATGGCTCAGGGTCTTAGGGTTTAGGCCCTTTAGGCTTGTGCAGGGGTAATGGGAATGTTGCTGACTCTAAACCCGAAGGAAGAGACTGAGCTAAGCAATCCAGCGCGGCTGGTGTTTACTAGGGACGGGTCTTTGTTGAAGGCGGCGGGGACAAACATGCGAACAAGAAGAAGCAGAAGAACGACAACGACAACGACAACGACAACAACGACAACAACAACAACAACAACAACCACAAACATAGCCAGAACCAGATCCAGGACCACTACCACCACCACTGCTACTACGACACCACCACCACTACCACCTACCC